ACAATGTCTGGCATCCAATCCAAAATTACAGGCATGTAAAGAAGGTGGAACATATGATCTATAATGAGGAAAAAAATCAATTGAAATGTACACAAAACTGAAATTGATGTTAGAACTAGCAGCAATAACTTTAAAAGTTATTATTTTTTCCATGTGTTCAAAAGTTTAGAAAAAACAGGATTGCTTAAAACACTTAAACTTAACTTCTAGAAATGAAAATACAATGTGTGAGATATAAAACGTACTGGAAGGGGTTAATGTCAGTTTAGACATTGCCAAATAAAAGATCAGTACACTTGAAAACACAGCAATAGAAACTATCCAACGTAAAACCCATAGGAAAAGAGAGTATTTTAAAAAGAAGAACAGCATAGTGAGCTGTGGGGCAACTTAAAACAGTCTAATATATGTATGGTTTCCAAAGGGGGAGGAATAAAAATATGTGTATAAGTAAAGGCTGGAAATTTTCAAAATCTGATAAACACTATAAACGTACAGATCCAAGCTCAACCAAACTAAGCACAAGAAACATGAAGAAAACTATAACAAGGCATATCATAATAAAAACTGTCCAAGAACACTAATAAAGAGAAAATATTAAAAGCAGAAAAAGGATCCATATATTATAGAGAGAAGAACAAAAATTTGGATTTCTCATCAGAAACAATGCAAGCAAGAAAACAGTGGTTCACTCACCATCCCTACAGTACTGAAAAGCATCTGTCAACCTAGATTCTATACCCAGCAAAAAATCTTTCAAAAACCTAAGACAAACTAAAGATATTTTCAGACATACAAAAGTTGAAAGAATTATCAGCAGACCAACACTACAAAAAATGTAAAAGGAAGTTTTTTTATACAGAAAGTGATACCAGATCTAAATATGGATCAACACAAAGAAATGATGAGCATCAGAAATGGTTAGTACTACATGAGCCATTATATAAGATGTTTTTCTTATTATTTAGAACTTTTTAAAAGATTATTGACTAAACAAAAATAAAGACTGCTGGGAGCCAGTCCATCCTTGCTGTTTCAAGGGACCTGGCATATATGGCATGCTGTTCTTAATATGTTTGCTCACCTTCTTGGTGCTGTGTTTTAACCAAGGTCACCTCTCTGAGAAAGGTTGTTTCCCCAGGTAGGAATTTTTCCCTGAAGTCAGGGAGGGGATGAAACTCCTTAACTAAGTGCCAGGCGGGTAGTTAATCACTTTAACTACAAACAATCACACTTAAGCTACATAATCTTTACTCCCTGGAATGGAGATAAGAAACACCCTAACCTTTGTAATAGAAATTGACAGGATTAAAATCAACTGGTATAAATACGGATGTAACAAGACAATAAACGGCAGAACTTCTCTGGAGATCCAGACCAGAACTTGGCTGGAGATCCTGGCTAGGCTGCTGATCAACTGAACGCTGTCTCCGTGTCATTCCTTCTTCGCCGACTCCGTCTACACCTTTGGGAACCCCTGGACCTGCTGGAGCTGGACCCCAGCAAAAGACAATTGTAATATGAAGTTTAATGCCATGTGTAAAAATAAAACATATGACAACAATTACACAAAGGTCAACAAGGGAAAAATAAAAATACACTTCCTAGTACTTGTATTCGTTTCCTACTGCTGCTGCAATAAACTGCCACAGACTGAGAGGCTTAAAACAATACCACTTTGTTATCCCAGAAGCCAGAAATCCAAATTCAGTCTCACTGACTACAGGCATCAGCAGGATTGCATTCCTTCTGTGGCGTCTGGGAGAAAATCTATTTCCTTCCCTAGTCTGGGCTCCAGAAACCACCTACATTCTTGGTTTGTGGCCCCTTCCCCTGTTACATCACTTCACCTTCTGCTTCTATTGTCACAGAGCTCTGACGCTGACCCTCCTGCCCGCTCTTATAAAGACACTTATGATTACATCTGAATAATGTATAATAATCTCCCGTCTCAAAATCCTTTTTGCCATCTGGTATCACATATTCCTAAATTCCCAGGATTAAGATGTAGACATCCTTAGGGGGTGGGGGCAGCCAGGGAGAGGTCAATGGGGGGAAAAAGAGACTTATGTAATACTTTAAACAATAAAGAACTTAAATTTAAAAAAAAAAAAAGATGTAGACATCTTTGGGGTAGGAGAGCATTATTCTGTTTACCACCGTAAGATTACTAGTATAGAGTATTTATTAGTAAAATGTCACTTGAAGGTAAACTGTAATTAAAGATACTTACTATAATCAGTAAGCAATCACCAAAACAGCAAAACAGTTATAGGTAAATAGCCAGAGGAAATGAGATAGAAATCATAAAAATTATATTATTCCCCACAAAAGAAGAAAATGAAGAAAAAGGGAACAAACAGACTGATAAATGGGAAATAGCAAAATGATGGGTTTAAATCTAACTATAACAAAAATCACATTAAATGTAAATGGACTAAAGACCAATTTAAAAAGCATATTAATTCCAGGCCAGTGTTGCTCAGTGGTTGAGCATCAACCTATGAACTGGGAGCTCATGGGTCAACTCCTGGTCAGGGAACATGCCTGGGTTGGGACTCAATTCCAGGAAGGGGACATGCAGAAGGCAGCCAATCAATAATCCTCTCTCATCATTGATGTTTCTATCCCTCTCCCTCTCTCCCTTCCTCTCTGAAATCAATAAAAATATTTTTTTAATTTTAAGATCATATTATCACACTACATTTAAAAAGCAAGACATGCTCTAGCCAGTCTAGTTCAGTGGATAGAACACTGGCCTGCAGACTGAAGGGTCCCATGTTCAATTTCGGTCCTGGGCATGTATCTCGGTTGCAAGCTCAATCCCTGGCCCTAGTCCGGGCACATGCAGGAGGCAACCAATCGAAGTGCTTTCATATTGATGTTTCTCTCTCTCTGTCTTTCCCCCTCCCTTCCACGCTCTCTAAAAATCAATGGAGCTCTAGCTGGTTTGCTCAGTTGATAGAGCATTGGCCTGTGGACCAAAGGGTCCCAGGTTTGATTCCGGTCAAGGGCACATGCCCAGGTTGCAGGCTCTGAAATCAATAAAAATGTAAAAAATAAATACATAAGTAAATAAATTAATTAATTAATAATAAAAATCAATGGGAAAATGTCCTTGGGTGAGGATTAACAACAACAACAAAACAAAAACAAGACGCAACTATATACTGCCTATAAAAAATAAAAATCTTGTGGCATAAAGACCCAAATATATTAAAAGTAAAAAGAATGGTAAAAGATACACCACGTTAAAACTAATTTTGAAAAGAGGCTAGGATGGCTATATACATATCAGAGAAAGTAGATTTTAGAATAAAGAATACCAGTGGAAATAACGGTCATTAAATAATGATAAGGGGATCAATTTATCAAGAGGACATAACAATCCTAAACACTAGTATTTATGAAGCTAAACAAAGGTTCAAAATCTATGAAGCAAAAACTAATAGAATTGTAAGGAAAAATAGACAAACTCACAATTATAGTCAAATTTTCAATACTCTCTCTTGATAATCCATAGAACAAATGGGGGAAAAATCAGTAAGGATGTAGAAGACTTGAGCAACACTATCAACCAACTTGATTTAATTGATATTTACAGAATTTTCTAACAACAGGAAAATTCACATTCTTTTCCAGACCAAAGAGGATATTTACCCAAGAGAGAACATATTCTGGACCACATGGAATTAAATTAGAAATAAATAACAGGCATATCTTTGAAAATCCCCCAAATGTTTGAAAACTAAATAACACACTTCTAAATAATCCATGGGTAAAAGAAGAAAACAAAAGGGAATTTACAAAATGTGTGAATTAGAGGAAAATAAAAACAAACTATCAAATGTTATAAAATTAAGCTAAAGTAGTATTTCTATTTAGAAATTATATTTTTAAGTGCCTATAATAGAAAAAAGATTTCAAAGCAATGACCTCAGTTTCTACCTTAAGAAATAAGAATGAGAAGAGCAAGTTAAATACAAGTAAGTAGGGGGGGAAAGGTGAAAATAAAGATCAGAGAAGAAACTGTAACATACTAAGAAAAAAATTGAAAAGTATCCATTATACCAAAAGCAAGGCAGGCTTTATTTCTTTTAAAATATCAATAAAATTGCACCCTATCCAGTTTGGTTCAGTGGATAGAGCTGAAGGGTCCCAGGCTCAGTTCCGGTCAAGGGCATGTACCCAGGTTGCGGGCTCAATCCCCAGCCCTGGTTGGGGTTTGTGCAGGACGCAATCAATCAATGTATCTCTCTCATATTAATGTTCTTCTCTCTCAGTCTCTTCCCTTCCCTTCCACTCTCTCTAAAAATCAATGGAAAAATATCCTCTAGTGAGGATTAACAACAACAAATATCAATAAAATTGGTAAACTTCTAGTCAGATTGATCAGATAAAAAATTTCAAATTATCAATGTAAGAAATAAAAGAGGAATTACTACCCCAGATTCTACAGATATTAAAAGGATAATGATAGTATGAACAACTTTCTTAGATGAAATGGAAAAAAAATTCCTTGTAAGTCAAAAACTACCAAGGTTCACTCCAGATAAAATGGATAACTTAAATATTTAGGTATCTTTCAAAGAAATTAAATTTATAGTTTAAAACATTCCCAGAAAGAAATTGCAGGGTCCAAATGGATTCATTTGCAAATGCTCAAAACATTTAAGGAAAAAATACCATTTATATATAAATTCTTCCAGAATACTAAAAAGGAGGGAATACCTCCCAGCTCCTTATGGGGCCAACATTGTCCTGACATCCAAACTACATAGACTGCAAGAAAACTATATGTCAATATCTCTCAAAACATATAAGGAACTCTATTAAAATTTTTGCAGAGTGAATCTGACCATATATAAAAAGGATTAATACATCGAAGCAAAGTAGGGTTTATCCTAGGAATGTAATGTCAGTTTAACATTCAAAAATTAGAGTGCCCTCTGTGGTCCCAGATCTGTCTCTTGCTTCAACAGTGTTTGGACGGAACTGACCCAGGAACGCTTCTTCCAGCCTCGGGCCACTCTCCTCCATCTTATCGAGTCACCACCTTCAGAACCACCTCCAGGACCAGCCAACACGCCATTTTATTTTCTACCTTAACTCCTTATTGCTGAACAACCATGAGCTCCCAATTGGTCAGAACTATCCCACCAGGGTGGAGGCTGCGTCAACCGCCTGGCCAGCCTGCACCTGCGGCCCATACACCCCTGCGGGCTGCCTACACCTACCTCTCTCTAGGCTACTATTTCGAAGACCGTGATGATGTGGCTCTCGAGGGTGTGGGCCACTTCTTCCACGAGTTGGCGGAGAAGAAGGGCGAGGGCACTGAGCATCTCTTAAAGGGGCAAAACAAGCGCGGTGGCCGCATTCTCTTCCCGGACGTGCTGACGCCTCCCCAAGGTCAGTGGGGCAAAACTCAGGACATCATGCAAGCTGCCCTGGCCTTGGAGAGGCACCTGAACCAGAGCTGCAGGCCCTGGGTTCTACCCGCACAGACCCTCAGCTCTGTGACCTCCTGGAGAACCACTTCCTGGATGAGGAGGTGAAATTCATCAGAAAGATGAGCCACCACCTGACTAACATCCGCAGGCTACCGGCCCCCAGGCTGGGCGAGTTTCTCTTCAAAAGGCTCACCTTCAAGCACGACTAGGAGCCTTTGGAGCCCAGAGGCCTTTCAGAGGCCCTTCTGCATTCCCCAGGAGCCAGGCTTTTACCTGAGCCTCTCCCCGAAATTACTAGCTATTCTTTTAACAGTCCTGAAGCCTCACCCATGCATTGGATCAAATGAAACAATAAAGCTTTTCGCAGAAAAAATAATCAATTTAACATCATATTAACAAACCACAAAAGAAATATTGCATGAGCATCTCAATAGACTCAGAAAAATCAGTTGGCAAAATCCAACATCCATTCCTGATTTAAAACACTCAAACTAGAAATAGGACCACCCTCAGTCTGATAAAGAACTACAAAAAAAAACCTACATCTAACATCACGCTTAATAAAGAAACAATGACCCTAGCTGGTTTGGCTCAGTAGGTAGAGAGTCAGCCTGCAGACTGAAGGGTCCCGGGTTCGATTCCAGTCAAGGGCAGCTTTCGGGTTCGATCCCCAGTAGGGGGCATGCAGGAGGCAGCCAATCGATGATTCTTTCTCATCATTGATATTTCTATCTCTCCCTCTCCTTTCCTCTCTGAAATCAATAAAACTACGTATTTTTAAAAATAATGAAACAATGAATGCTTCCTCTCACCACTTTTACTTAATATTGCACTGGACATTACAACCAGTGCAATAGACAAATAAAACTCATCTATATTGAAAATTTCTCTTAATTTACTAACAACATAATCAATTATGTAGAAATGCTGTGGAATCTCTGGAAACCTAATAGAACTAATATGAGTTTAGAAGGTTGCATGATATGCAATCAATTTACAAACTTAATTGTACTCTATACTAGTAAAGAAAAATCAGAAATTTAAATTTTTAAAAGTCCATTTACAGCAATATCAAAAGTACTTTAAGTACTTAGAGATAAACCTGAAAGAAATGTGATGATCTGTATACTGAAAAATAAAAAGTATTGATGGGAAAAATTAAAGAAGACTTAAATAAGTAGGGATATGCCATATTTGTGGGTTGGAAGACTCAACATTTAGAACTGTCAATTTTCCCCCACTTGATCTATTGATTCCATACAATCCTAATCAAAATCCCACATATTTATGTGAAAACTGACACACTGATTGTAAAATTTCATGTGGAAGTGCAAAGAAGGTCAAATAGCCAAAATATCTTGGAAAAAGAACAAATTTGGAGGGCTAACACACTATCTGATTTCAAGATGCATTATAAAACTACAATAATCAAAACAGTGAGTTATTGGTGTGAAGACAGACAAATCAGTGAAACAGAATTGAGAGTCCAGAAATAGACCCACGTACATGCGACCTCTAATTTTTGACAGAGGTACAATGGCAATTCATAACTCAACAAATTATGCTGGAACAATTGGATGTCTATCTGCAGGAAAAACTTTAATCCATACCTTGCACCATATTAAACATTTCATTCAAAATGGATCATAGACCTAAATATAAAACCTCAATTATAAAGCTTCTACAGAAAAAAAAAAAAACACACACACACACCTTGACCTGGGATTAAGGCAGCAATTTCTTAGATACAACAAAATCACAATTTAGAAAATAACAAATTGATCAGCTTGACTTAAATACCTGCTCTTTGAAAGATACTATTAAGATAATGAAAATACAAGAAACAACCTGGAAGAAAATATTTTCACAGCGTATGTCAAATAAAGGTCTTGAATCCCCCCTGTACCCTCTTCCACCTGCATCCAACTCACTCCCCCACCTTGAAATTACCACATTGTTGTCCATGCCCATGACTTCTTTCTTTTTTCTACTCAATCCTTCTACTCCTTCCACACACCAATACCCTCACCCCGCCCCCACCCATCCCACCTCATCCCCGCCACCAGAGCTGTCTGCCTGCTCTCTATGAGTTTGTCCCTATTTTTCTTGTTAGTTCAGTTTGTTCATTAAATTCCACCTATGAGTGAAATTATATGGTACTTGTCTTTCTCTGACTGGCTTACTTCACTTAGTATAATGTTTTCCAGGTCCATCCATGCTGTCGCAAAGGGTAAAATTTTCTTCCTTTTTATGACCAAGAACTATAAAAATTTAATGACAACAAAACAAGCAAGCAATCTATTTTTAAAATGGACAAAAGACGAACCCTTGCCCTAACCGATTTGGCTCAGTGGATAGAGCATCGGCCTGTGGACTTAAGGGTCCCAGGTTCGATTCCGGTCAAGGGCATGTACCTTGGTTGTGGGCACAGCCCCAGTGGGGGGTGTGTAGGAGGCAGCTGATCGATGTTTCTCTCTCATCGATGCTTCTAACTCTCTATCCCTCTCCCTTCCTCTCTGTAAAAAATCAATAAAATATATATTTTTTAAAAAGGTGAACCCTTTACCAAAGAACATATATGGATAGTAAATAAGCACTTGTAAAGATGTTCAACATCTTTGTTAATTAGGGAATTCAAAGTAAAACCACATTGAGATACAACAATGTAACTGGTAGAATGATTAAAACTTTAAAAATCTAACCATACCAAGTGGTGGTGAGAATATGGAGGAACTGGAACTCAAGTATATTGTTGGCATGCATGTAAAATGATACAACCACTTTGAAAGCAAGCTTAGCAGTTTCTTAAAATGTTACACATACACCTTCTTTACAATCTAGTCATTACACTCCTAGGTACTTTGCCCAGAAGAAATAAAAGTATATGTCCACACAAAGACTTATACACAAATGCTCACAGCAACTTTGTAATAGCCAGAAACTAAAAACAAATCCAACTGTCCATCAAAAGGTGAATGGGTAAATAAAATGTATTCCGGCCATACAATGGAATACTACTCAGCATAAAAAAGGAATGAATTATTGATGCATGTTAGAATATGGCAAGGTTGCGGGTTTGATCCCCGGTCAGGGCACATATAAGAATCAACCAGTGAATGCATAAATAAGGAGAACAACAAATCAATGTTTCTCTCTCCCCTCTCAAAATAAAAAGGGGAAAAAAAGAAAAACAAAATATTCTCGGTGAGGATTAACAAGAACAACTTACTGTTAACTTTGAGTGGCTTTTTTTTTTTCATGGTTTTTTTCCTTTGAAGTTTTTTAAAAAATCTTTATTGTTTAAAGTACTACATATGTCCCCTTTTTTCTCCCATTGACCCCTTATAGCCTGCCCCCCCCCTTTTTTCTTTTTTGTTTTTGTTAATCCTCACCAGAGGATTTTTTTTTTTCATTGCTTTTTTAGAGAAAGTAGAAGGGAGAGAGAAAGAGAAACATCAGTGTGAGAAAGACACATTGATTGGTTGACTCCCACACGTTCTTGACTAGGACTCAAACCCTCAACCTTTTGGTGCGCCGGCGAAACACCCAGCCAGGGCAGCAAGGGAAACTTTGAGCTTTGATAGATATTCCTGGTTTATTGGGGGGGAAGAGGGGTTAAGTTCTTACCATTTTTTTTGTTTGCTAAATCTCACCCAAGGATATTTTTTCGTTTATTTT